TCCTACACTTGTTGCTAAAGAGTGGTTGTGAGATGGGAGGCATTTCCTCCCTGGCTTTTCGTTTCCACAGTGCCCCATTAAGGCCCTCATCAATCATTGGATCACAGACCGAAACCCTCTTCTGTGGCTGATGGCTGGCGTTGGATCTAAAGCACCTCTCTCTTCCTGGAGCTGTAAGGATTAAGGGCCCATTTTGTTCACGGCCATTTGAAGAATGTGTTGAGTGCCAAACCTGCAGCTTTATATACATTTAAGCTATTTTATGCACTTGGAGGGGTCAATTGAGTGATGTTATTTTAGTGTAGATACCAGTTTTGAAATATGTTACCATTTTTAGGACTGTTGACAGTCCAAGAGCCAAATGCCAGTGTAAAGGCGTCATTGTGCTTTATCGTTTTACTTTCAGTAATATACTGTGAGACATTTCCACATTTCACAAATATAATGGCTTTCTATAATGACTACAAAACGGTACTCCTCAAACCACACTGACGCTATTTATTTCCATCAAGATGATACTTTATTCCCCCAGATCCATCCAATCAGCATTCAATCCAGGGTCCGTGTATCTTTTGGTCATTGGTCATTGGATTTTCCTTTCAGAAACAGGTATTAAAAAACAGAAAACGAGTGGTTATTTGATTTTCGTTTTCAAATACAAAAATTTAAATTGAAATACAAGGCGTTTTTCTTTTTCGCTGTCAAAAAGGGATGAGCGAAATTAAAAAAATTATTCGATTTTCATTTTCTATTTCATATAACAAAAAATAAAATCACTAGAAAACAGAAACGGAAAAAAGGCCTGTTTTTTCATATTCTGAGACCGGATGTTGTCATTTACAGGACGGTGCTGTGTAGAAGAAACAGTAGGCTAGTAGACTGCGGTCAATCCAGCCGTGAGTCCGATCTCCATGGTCAAATCAGCCGCACTTAAATTTAGAGTGTACAAGTATTCTCAGCATTATGGTAAATGCGGAGAAACGTCGTATTTACTTCCGGTTTTCAAAATAAAGGTATTTAGAGCCGTAAGCTATAATTAAAATATGTTACATTAAAGTGTTGTGTGCCCCTGATGAATAAAAAAACACTTTATATCAAGTATCTTTACTGCACCAGTGTGGAGAAATACCAAAATAAAAGTCCATATTTGTATCTCCAAGTGGTATTTTCATATATTTGAGCTACTGTAAAAACACTTTGCTCAATAATTCCTGGCTATGGATGATATATTTGACTTCTACACATCTAAGACTACAAGTATACCTAATAAAGCATTTTTACTGTACCAATGTGGAGAAATTGAAGAATAAAAGTCCCATATTTATACTTCCAGATTCCATATTTTCTTATATTTGAGCTACTGTAAAAATGTAAACTGTATGTGGAACCACCTGCAACAGCTGTCACACTGAATAATATAAAAAAATAATATGTGAGGAAGAGACAGTAGGTACAATGGTGTTTTGAAGTTAAAACTAATTATTTTTCCCTTGTACCTACAAATGGACACAGCAGAGCTGCAAAATAAGAAGAATGTGGACTGGCATTGCATTTTGTGTGAAAAGTAAACAAATTAGAATTGTGTAGGATTTTGTGTTTAGTGTTTATATTATCAAGATGTTATTTAACATTTGTGTGAAATTTTGTCATGATTACTGCAGCATTATTGAAGTATAATGAAAATGCTTCACCCATAGCCTGGAAATATTGAGCAATATGTTTTTACAGTAGCTCAAAAATATAAGAAAATATGGAATCTGGAAGTATAAATATGGGACTTTTATTCTTCAATTTCTCCACATTGGTACAGTAAAAATGCTTTATTAGGTATACTTGTAGTCTCATATGTGTAAAAGTCAAATATATCATCCATAGCCAGGAATTATTGAGCAAAGTGTTTTTACAGTAGCTCAAATATATGAAAATACCACTTGGAGATACAAATATGGACTTTTATTTTGGTATTTCTCCACACTGGTGCAGTAAAGATACTTGATATAAAGTGTTTTTTTATTCATCAGGGGCACAACACTTTAATGTAACATATTTTAATTATAGCTTACGGCTCTAAATACCTTTATTTTGAAAACCGGAAGTAAATACTGCGTTTCTCCACATTTACCATAATGCTGAGAATACTTGTACACTCTAAATTTAAGTGCGGCTGATTTGACCACGGAGATCGGACTCACGGCTGGATTGACCGCAGTCTACTAGCCTACTGTTTCTTCTACACAGCACCGTCCTGTAAATGACAACATCCGGTCTCAGAATATGAAAAAACAGGCCTTTTTTCCGTTTCTGTTTTCTAGTGATTTTATTTTTTGTTATATGAAATAGAAAATGAAAATCGAATAATTTTTTAAATTTCGCTCATTCCTTTCAGACCATGAAAAAGAAAAACGCCTTGTATTTCAATTTTAATTTTTGTATTTTAAAACGAAAATCAAATAACCACTAGTTTTCTGTTTTTTATTACCCGTTTCTGAAAGGAAAATCCAATGACCAAAAGATACACGGACCCACGGACCAATCAGGTTGCAGAAGAGAACCATGAAGAACTAATGTTACCTTACTGAGCATTAGTTGGAAAAAAATCATACCAAAGATAGGTTTGTTTTGTTTATGTTGTTAAAATGGCATGACTTTTGGTGGAAATCGCATTATGACTTGTTTAGAATTCTAAATTAAAAGTTTACTTACAGTAATGTCCCCTGATTAACCAACTGGTGATTGCTGGTTCCCCAGAACAAGTGAGTATAGTTAAATCATACCACCTGCTGACAGATCTTTAATTAGGCAACACTGTGTGTCACTGGATGATGTCGCATTACACTGCAGGAAAAGCAGAGTCAGGACCAAGTTTTCTTTACAGATAAAGATTATCTAGTTCTCCTTTTTCATTCAGCTTTTTGACACATATAATTCACAAAAAACACTATATCATAAAACAAGAGGCACTTGCAGTTATACACATACACAGACAGACGGGTGCAATGTATTTAAGTACATTTACTCAAGTACTGTATTTAAGTACAAGTTTGAGGTACTTGTACTTTAATATTTTCCTACTACTATACCACTTTATACTTCTACTCAGTTCAGAAGGAAATGTTCTTTCTACTCCGTAACAATTATTTTACAGCTTTAGTTACTAATTACTTTACAAATTAAGATTTAGCACAAAAAACATCAGTACAGCTGAAACTATATGACGACTAATCAATTGAGCTACTAGAAAATGAGCACCACCTCAACAGCAGTAGACATTTTTCTGCATTGAGCAATACTACTTTTAATATTCTATTAAAAGTATCTAAATGAATGTATTATACTTACATACTTGTTACTACTTGTTAGATGCCATTAAATCCCACATACTGGTCTTTAAAGTACATTTTCCGGATTATACTTACATACTTTTACTTTAACATTTTCAATGCAGGACCTTAACTCGTGATGAATATTTTTACAGCGTGGCATTAATACTTTTACCGCAGCAAAGAATCGGAACACTTCCTCGATCATTGCAGACAGAATAGGATGGGGAGAGATGCCAGTAAAGGTAATGTCTATGGGTGCTTTTCATTACGGTCCTCTCCTCCTGTGACACGGAAAGGAAACACCGGTGTATCCTACACAGAAGTCTTTTATCAAGTGACGTGGGTGTGATGTAAAAATGCCGCATCTCCACATGTGGAAACTGAGTTCTATTTGTATGTTTGGCATGACTGGAAACCTAATGGACAATATTAAAAGCAAGATTAGATCAATCTTTATTCACACAGTTTATTCTCACAGCTCTTACCCTATAGTGGCGTGTATGGGGATCTGCATGTAATATACTAGAATACATTTACATGGTGAGATCATTTAATCACAAAGTGTTGGGGCATTACAAAAAAAGCTGTTGGTTTTCTGTGTTTTTTTATTTTCCACTACAAGCGACATTCTTATGCAACTCTGTGAAGGGAAGTGAGTCAGGGAACCAAGGGGACACGTTAGCATATTGAAAAGCATCCTGTGCTGCCTACAAGCTGTAAGGCTGCTATTGTAAATAATAATCTCACTTGCTTCTGTTTTGGAATTCTGCATCACAGATTTTGACTTGAAAAATGTTTCAACTAATTTCCCTTGTTTATTCTTAAAGATCAGTGTGGTTTGAAAAAATCAGACACAGAAAAAGATTTGACTCTTTATTCTTTATTCTCAGATCCCCACCAAGGTAGCAGCTACTCTCCCTGGGGTCTGCACCCAACAGCTCAGACATACAAGAAAGACACATAACAATCAAAAAAGGAGATTCATGTCACGTATGTGACAATAGATTTTTCTGATAATTATAAAGCTGTGAAAAATGTCCATCATGGGGCAAAACAAACCCCTATAGGGTTCGGGGTAAAATGTAGCCTGATTTTTGTTGGTGTGTAAAAATGAATGACAAAGAACCATAATGTCATGAATAAGGGCATGAAATCAACTCATTTGAACTATATTGCTTTGGGCAAAACTAACTGCTAACTGCAATTAGCATTGAGATAAAATATGATTAGTGAAGAATAACCCAATACTTAGTCATATTAAGAAAAACTGGAAATGAGGACAGAATTGACACTAAACCCTTTAAAGCTAGACCTCATTACAGTAGCCTATTTAAATTAAGTTGGCCTTGAAAGTTATGTTATAAGTTTATTAAGTAAATAAGAAAAAAACAACCAAGTATTCATGATCTATTTTTTTTTTTTTTTATCTGTAGATATATATCTCACCCTACTACATACACATACCACATGGCTTTTGGTTGGTTACAGGTTTCAGTTTCAGCTCATTCCTCTTTTCTGTTCTTTCCCCCTCTTCCTTGTGTGTGTCTCTCTCTCTCTCTCTCTCTCTCTCTCTCTCGCTTATTCTCAATCTCTCTGTCACCTCGCGCCTCTCCATCTGTGTTACTCCCTCTCATCCCTGCCCATCTCCCCTACCACCCACCCTTCCCTGCATCACAGGATTCCCGCCACTTCAGTCTCCAATCTCGTTTCACGGCAACTGGCTCTCAACAAGGGGCTCTGATGGTGGCGTTGGAGGAGGAGGAGGAGGAGGAGGTGAAGGAGGCGTTCAGGGTTGAGAGGAATTGTTCCTTGAGAACAGAGAATATCTACATTACATGAGGACAGAATGTTCTGAAAGTAAGGAGGAACACGTGAAGATTGAACTATTCATGTTCATTGTGTGTGTGTGTGTGTGTGTTTGTGTGGGAGGGTGGGTCCCCTGTCAGTCAGATCAAGTAGGTGGCAATTTTCTGTGTGTGTAAGAGGGAGAGAGATTGCACAGGCCTGTGTGATTTTGTGACAGTTTTAGTCAGCTAAACATACCAAATCTGTGTCAAGTGTGTCAACGTACTGCATACAGCTCCCACAGGTTTATGACACTGCAGGTGGGAAAGCCTTCAGATTACTTCAGTTGTGATTTATTCTGTGTAATGTCCTCTGTAAAGTACACTGACAAGATTGTTTTACACCTGATTGCGCTGGATGGGATTCCTGACATTATTTGCAGAGCTGTACGTCCCACAGTACAATAAAAGGTTATTGATACAATATGGATTTTTCAGTGAGTGTTTCGTATAAAGGAATTGATTTATTCAGTTTGCCCTTCTGCAGGAAGGTCATTATTAAACAAAAAACACCATAATCATCTAATATCCAATGAAACACAGATGCACATACGCTTCATAAAACATTGATTATTTGACAGCTAAATGGGCCTTTTATAGCTCTCTCCCGCTGCATTTTGATAAGTCCCAGCCTGTGTGTGTTACTACTGACCAACCCACTGCAACCCATGACCCTCCGCCACTGAGAGGGAAGGACTGCATGTTAAAGAGCTTTCCCCTCCATGAACCCTCTGTCTGCCACCCAGTAAGTGGGAGTGTGTAGTATTACATCCGCACATTGTGTGTCCATGCGTCCTTTATGTGTGTGTGTATATGGACCGTTTTTTTTTCTTCTCTTCCATCCAATCATTGTTAAATAATTATGAATGCTACCAGGGCTGTCCCCTAATAGTCTACATAGTCGTTAGTCGATGTGAAGAGTCTAAGTCGGCCCACTTTTCATTAGTCGGATAGTCGCAGAAAAACAAAACACTGTGCAACAGTGCACACCGGTGAATAGGTGGGCACCTATTGACTTGCCTGCACATGGCACAAGAGGAGAGGGAGAGGCCCTGGTAGCTATAGAGTTGTGTACTGCGATTACATCAAGCAGCATGCATGGGAATGAATTCCAGTATAATATATTTGAATATCTCTCTCACCTTTTCCCCGATGGCTTGAATAAGTTGCTAAATTTGTTGCTAGTCACTTTTTAGAAAGAAAGTCACCAATTCTAGCAAGACATTTAGCATAGGCAGTACTGGTGTAGTGATATGATTATGATGGTATACAATATATGTCAGTGAATGGTGTGTGTGTGTTCTTTGATGATGCCACCCATGGTCAGCAGCAGCAGCAGAGTGAGCAGGTGAAAAGAAAAGTGGTCCATGCTGTAGAGGTCACAGATCACTCAACTGACCACATTAACTTGTAACAATGTGTGAGTGAAGTGCTTAACCCAGACGGAGGCCTGTTTGCCGGCGTTCTAGTTAGTGAAATAAATCAAACCTTTAGGGGAGCATGCTGACAGAGGGACTGGCTGTAGAACAATCAGTTTAGGACACAATAAGGGTGAAAGGGACAAGGTCACAGGCTGACCCCTAAAAAGATGTGAGGCGAAAGTGAGGAAACGAACGAAGGGAAAAGGCTGGCTTTTGCTGCTGGGAATCTTGGTTAGGGAGAACGAGTGGGTAGGGGGGGAGGAAGAAGAAGTGGGAGAAGAGAAGGTGCAATTTAACTCTGATGCCCTGTGTTAAAGGGGGAGAGGACAGAGCAGGGACTGTAAGCACAGCATGCAGGGAGAGGGGGGTGATGACCTCTCTTTATAGGGTAGTTAACGCAAGAAAACTCATGTTCAGAAATAGAGAATGGGTAGTAAATGTGTTTCCAGTCGAATTAGCAGTAAATCTTAATTGCAGGTTTATGTACAACCAAAGGTGGAGATGAGATAAAGACAAAAAAGGTTTCCTCATTTTTTCCTTTATGGACTGGTTTAAATTCTGCTTCCGTCTGGGTGAGGTAAGCTAAGACACAAACCGTGTGCCAACAACTATGTCATTTTGAGTCACTTTCTGTTGTATGCTAACCAAAATGGGCTACAACACTCAAATGGTCTTTTGAAATGGTCCCGGTGTGCACATTAATGAGGGACCTCATGCATAATACAGCTGAGTTGAACAGACCCAAACGCAGACACCCCACAGTACTGGCACTAGCATGATGTGCCACCAATTAGAAAGAAAAAAAATAGCAATACTACCATGTTTGAATTTCCATATTTGAGTACTTGCATTAAATTATTACTCACAAAAAATAATAAATAATATTGTCTGAAATGAACACCCATGCATCTTAAAAAACATCCTCACTAGGCTTCTGTTGTTGTCTTTCGCTAACGCAACATTGAGAAATTTAGCAAGCCGTGCTGAGCAGATAATCATTACACCAAACTGATATATACTGTGAGCAAGTAAAGCTGTCTGCCGACATTGTCTAATGTTACATTAGCTTGTCCAGTGAGGCAGTGCCGGCAAAATAAATGAATAGAACAATGTTGATAACACAGTATTGGCTACGTGGGTTGGATGTGAAATACACTACTCACAAAAAGTTAGGGATATTCCACTTTCAGGTGAAATTTATGGAAAATGGAAAACGTTGATGCTACAGTGATATTATATCATGAAAGTAGGGCATTTTCATCCGAAAGCCGAATATCCCTAACTTTTTGTGAGTAGTGTAATTCCAACTACGTGTTTGTTCATATTCATTCTAACTTTCTTTGAGGAAGTGACCCTCTTTTTAAGTCAGTCCCTCCAGGATCTTGTGGGCGTTTGTTGGGGATTTCACAGCAGCTTTTCTAAAAAAAAAAAGGCAATTCATGTTGTGATGTTCTTAGGCATTATTTTGCAATGAAATTGCGGGAGAAAGTAAAAATTGAAAACAAAAACGTAACTTCTTCCAGTGAGAATAAAATGTATAGTATTTTGTTGACGTATGGCTCAACGTTTTGAGGGATGAATGCTATGATTGGTCAAATTTGTGGTAAAGTTGGTGAAATTGCAAGGTGGCCCATTCACAGGGATTGGTTGAATTTGCGTTAATGAGTGCATGATCGCAACTTTCTGGAGGGACTGATCATTATACTCTCTATATATAATACAAATAGTCTGACCAACCTTATGGTCTTTCTGACAATACCTGAAGATCATGTCCATGATTTATGAGTGTTCAATCATTGTTTGATGCATACAGAGTGGATTCTAAACTTATATTTTCTGTTGGGCTGAATCCTTTCAATTGTTTCTTGTTTCACAAGTTTGAACTTATTTCATGTTTGTTTACAATTGTAACGTCATGTCAGTAAAATTTTCTCATTTTTATTTTGCGGTATTAATAAAGTATCATTATTATTTACGTTGATAGCATTGTTTGAATTCAGTTTCTAAATAACATCTCAAACCACCATCTCAAGGGTTAATAAGCTTTACTTTACCTCCTAATGCATTCAAGATTTACCCATTATTTCTTTTCATTATGTATGCAATTATTCACATTCTCTGAGAAACAGTTGCACGAGAGAAAACAATCCCACTTGGACAATAAATCCCATTAAGCTATCTCGGCTGATCAAAGATAACATGTTTTAAAATATTTATTTCTTGTTGTTTGCCTCATTGATTCTATTCATGCATTTATGCATTTATTTCCTGGATTTATGACTTGGTAATTGGGTGGGAATCAGCGCTGCTAAGTATTAATGTGTGTACATGTAAAATTGAAATCTATGGGACCAAACACACATGCTTGTGTTTCTCTTGCCTGAGTGGCATGCTAATGACGGCGGTGGCGCTGCTGTGGTTTTCACGCTGCTGCCCATCCCAGACCTGTCCTCCATCATGTAGTCCTCTGATAGTTAATCCCCATGTGGTAATGAGCTGAGGGACTGAGTAATGAAATGGGAGCACTGTGTGTGTTTTTGTGTCTTCATGGGGGGGTGGGGGTGTCCCACTGTGTACATGTATACACTTAAGTGGTTGGACAGAAGACAGGGAATTAGTGGGGCGGGGGAAGGGGAGGAGAGGGAGGACGGAGATGTGTGCGAGTGGGGGTGTGTATGAGAAGGGATGAAGAGAAGGAAACAAGGAGAGCCCCTCTGTCTTTCAGCTCAGGTATGAGCTGCGGTAAAAATGGTGAACGAGAGCAGCCTACACAGCACCGAAGATGACAGCTGACATATTAACACTAACACACAAGCATGCACGTTTGCTCTGTGACCTTCGAACCTTTGCTGGTAGGTTACAGTCCATGGTTGGCTACCTTGTTAACCCTGCAGCGGTAAGTCGGCGGGCTCTCAAAGGGTGCTGCTGCTGACCAGGCAAGACACACGCACATACACGCATCACATCGCTCGCACTCAAGGAATACACCCCCAGAGATATTCCAGAGTGAACAATCCTCCTCACTCCCCCCACATGGCGCCCAAAACACTCACATCAACCCCCCTCGTGCCCCTCCTTTGAACGCACTCGCTGAACCCATGAGTGTGCGTGCAAGGCCCGCCTTCTCAATGGCCATAACAATGTCTGGGGATCACCCAGAGGTCCTGCTGGGGGCTTGAGATGGGGAGGGGGCTTTTAGTGTGTAGGAGTGTGTGTGTGTGTGTGTGTGTGAGAGAGTGTGTGAAAGAGGGACAGACAGTAAGATAGAGACAAAGAGAGAAACCAACATCTACCTCGTGCTGAATAAAAACGAACAAGAATTGATTCACAAATGTAAATATTAATAAAATATATTATTGTATTACATAAATGATAAAGACAAACTTAAAGGCATTTAAAAAGGACATTAAACAAGAGTATTTTGTATTGACTATATAATATTTATAATATAAAATTTTATAATAATATTTTATTTATTTTATTAACACAAATACCACTAAACAGCCAGAGAACACATAAGTACTGCATTAAATTATACGGCAATCAGTACCATATTACTGAACTAACCTTAACTATATGTCATGCATTTAGCATAATTTTCCCCAACACCCAAGTGAACACCAGTACAGCATTTAAAAGGTGGTTGAAACTGTTTTTGGACCAAGCTCAGAATCCCTAGAAACTGCGTACCCACACATATGCACACGCGAGACCCATAGTTAAACCCTGTCTTTGTAGTACTGCATCTGACAGGTAGCAAGCACGTCCTGTCCATGTGTTAAAGTGTCCTTGAACCTAAACTCGACCCTGATTCGTTGGGAATAATGTAAACTGCTGGAAGAAAGTGTCTGCCAAATGATTATACGGTGAACGTTTTCCATGTTCTTATTTCTGCCGGTAGATATTCTTTAGAACCGTATTGATAGCACTTTGAGGGATGAAGTGCACGTTATGTGATCTAACAAGGACTCAAGTCAGTACAAAACAAATTTGTGTTTGTATGTTTGCACGAGTCCAGTGACGGTAAAATCAGCCAATGAACAAAAGGGCCCCTTGAAGCGGCTGAGCTCTGACCACGTTGACCTGAGCCCCAGGCTAAACACTGCACCGCTGTATGAGAACACGTATACAAAATGTTCCTTCAGCAGCAATCGCGTGTACAACCGTGCAATATGCCACAGGCTCTTGCAAGCCAGTTTGAAAG